CTTTTCCAGTTTCCAATAGTTCTGATAATAATTGTTCATATGTCTTTGGAATAGAGATGGACTATTTTTCCAACCAAACGGAAGGCGAGTCCACTCATAGTGTCCAAAAGGAGTGACAAATGCTGTAAACTTTCTAGTTTGAGGAGATAAAGGCAGTTGCCAAAATCCATCTTTAAGATCGATTTTTGAAAAGAACTGACAGCCTCCGAACAAACTAATTATATCATCAATAATTGGAAAAGGGAAAGGGTCTAACTCAGTTTGTTTGTTAACCTCTCGGTAATCAATACAAAATCTGAGATCTCCATTTTCTTTAGGGGCTAAAGTTACTGGTGAAGCAAAATTAGAATTTGAATGAGTAATGATTTTCTTTTCTAGCAATTCTTTTATTTTCTGTCTTGCAAATGATAGTTTATGAGGAGACATTGGGTATGGCTTACGCCGAACAATGGAGTGATCATCTTTTAGTTTGAAGTCAACAAAATTGTTCGAATCAGGTAAGGTCAAAGCACAAAGCCTAGGAAAAGCACGTTTGATTTCTTCTTTGGTCAATACGATTTCTAATAGTTCTCTTTTTGAGATCTCATCTTGAGTGCTCATTCTGAGTGCTCGTTCTGAGGTCTCACTTTGAGAACTCAAATTGAGCACTCGATTTGATCGCTCATTTTCAGAACTTAATAAGGCATCACTTATTGGTTTCTGGCAAAGACTAACACCTAGAAGCTTCAGGTCTGAGTAACCTAAGATAATTGGAAATGGAAGTGAGTCAAGTAGCAAAAAGTTCTAGCTTTGCTAACTTTCCTTTAAATTTAACTTCAAGCTTACAGACTTTATCTACTGTGAAAGTATCTCCATTCATTTGCTTGATGAGCTGCTGTTTTTCTAAAACTGTCCACTTATTCTCACGAACAATATTAGATCTAATAAAGCTTTTATCTGATCCTGAATCTAACACACATGCATAAGATTTTCCTTGTATCTCTATGGAGGTTTTTGGCTCTAAATCACTTGATAGTGCGTTGAATAGGGAATATGCTGGTTTGGGTATGAGCTCTCGATCTGAGCGCTCATTTTGAGTACTGAAATTGAGATCTCTGTTTGAGTTCTCATTTTGGGATCTAATTATGAGATCTCGATTTGAGCTCTCATTTGGAGTGCTCAGCTCGTTGTTAACTTTCTCCATGTTCTCATCTAATGCGATGAATCCATCTGAAGATTTATTATACTTATTACTTTGATTGGGAAGCTTGACTTGGGTTTTACTATTCTGACTGAAAGTATTCTTGCTAATAGTTGAATGAGACTTACTCTGAGTTGGTGGTTTAATGGTTTCCAAGGCATCTCTCAGTTCTTGTTTAGTTGTAAGTTGACGAGTGGATAGTTGATTTTGAATGGTATCAGGTAATCCTAGAAGTACCAATGTAACAAAGTTCAAATCGTCTATCTCAGGAAAGGCCAATTGAATAAGACGTTGCTTGTCATAATAGTAGTCGAATATATCACCACTTCTATATTCCCATTTTAATGCCAAACTAGCACAACTAACACGGTTATGACCGAAGGAACGGAGAAATGAACTTTTCCATAATTCCCAATCTTCACTGACGTTGTCTCTGATCATACTGTTGAACCACTTTAGAGCGTTGCCTTCAAGATTAGACTTGAGACCGTTGATTTTAGCTTTATCTTCACGCCAGTTGTTATGTTCACACATCTTCTCGTAAGTGCACATCCATGTTTTAGCGTCTTCGGTTTTCCCATCAAACTTTGAGATCTCCATACGATGAATCTTTTGGTTTGCTAGAGGTCGAAGTGACTCTTGAAAACACTTAAGAGTATTCGCAAACATCTCTTGTTGAGCTTTAATCATTTCACTCACAGCTTGTAAAACAACTGAATCTTGTGACCCATTAGATGGTGGCACTGAAGTAGCACTCATTGCTTCAATTTCACTTTCATCGGAAAGGACACAACCAAAGTCATTTTTTAAATAAGGAGTAGACTCCTCTGCTGATAATTGCACGACAAGGGTGCGATGACGAGTAAAATTTTCGAGAGCCGACGCTACGGAGGGCTTCGAAAGTAAAACACTATGTGAGCTGGTATCGCGATACTGATTATCGACGATTGTCCATTCATTTTCATCAAACAATTTATACTTTG